CTTCCAGGATAATGTCTAATTTAAATAAGCCCCAGTCTATATCACCCTTCAGGAATGTTTAATAAGCCCTGTCTATATCACCCTTCCAGCTTCCCTGTCTATATCACCCTTAATGTTTTAATAAGCCCCTGTCTATATCACCCTTCCAGGAATGTTTTAACAAGCCCCTGTCTATATCACCCTTCCAGGAATGTTTTAATGAGCCCCAGTCTATATCACCCTTCCAGGAATGTTTTGAAAGCCCCTGTCTATATCACCCTTCCAGGTATGTTTTAATGAGCCCCAGTCTCTATCACCCTTCCAGGAATGTTTTAAAGCCCCTGTCTATATCACCCTTCCAGTGATGTTTTAAATAAGCCCCTGTCTATATCACCCTTCCAGGAATGTTTTAATAAGCCCCTGTCTATATCACCCTTCCAGGAATGTTTTAATAAGCCCCTGTCTATATCACCCTTCCATGTTTTAATAAGCCCCTGTCTATATCACCCTTCCAGATGTTTTAATAAGCCCTGTCTATATCCTTCCAGGAATGTTTTAACAAGTGTCTATATCACCCTTCCAGGAATGTTTAATGAGCCCTGTCTATATCACCCTCCAGGAATGTTTTAATGAGCCCCTGTCTATATCACCTTCCTGTAATGTTTTAATGAGCCCCTGTCTATATCACCTTCCTGTAATGTTTTATAAGCCCCTGTCTATATCACCTTCCAGGAATGTTTTAATGAGCCCCTGTCTATATCAAATGTTTTAAATAAGCCCTGTCTATATCACCCTTCCGAATGTTTTAATGAGCCCCTGTCTATATCACCCTTCCAGGAATGTTTTTAAAGCCCCTGTCTATATCACCCTTCCTGCAATGTTTTAATAAGCCCCCTGTCTATATCACCCTTCCAGGAATGTTTTAATGAGCCCCTGTCTATATCACCCTTTCAGGAATGTTTTAGCCCCAATATCACCCTTCCAGGTTTAATAGCCCCTGGAATGTTTTAATGAGCCCCTGTCTATATCACCCTTCCAGTAATGTTTTAATAAGCCCCTGTCTATATCACCCTTCCAGGAATGTTTTAATGAGCCCCTGTCTATATCACCCTTCCTGTTTTAATAAGCTTAAATAAGCCCCTGTCTATATCACCCTTCCAGGAATGTTTTAATAAGCCTGTCTATATCACCCTTGAATGTTTTAATGAGCCCCTGTCTATATCACCCTTCCTGAATGTTTTAATAAAGCCCTGTCTATATCACCCTTCCAATGTTTTAATAAGTGTCTATATAATGAGCCCCTGTCTATATCACCCTTCCAGGAATGTTTTAATAGCCCTGTCTATATCCCCCCCTATATCACCCTTCCAGGAATGTTTTAATAAGCCCTGTCTATATCACCCTTCCAGGAATGTTTTAAAAAGCCCCTGTCTATATCACCCTTCCAGGAATGTTTTAATAAGCCCTGTTATATCACCCTTCCGTGTCTATATCACCTTATATCTATATACCCTTCCAGTAAATGTTTTTAATGAGCCCCTGTCTATATCACCCTTCCAGGATGTTTTAATAGCCCCTGTCTATATCACCTTCCAGGAATGTTTTAATGCCCTGTCTATATCACCAATCCCTTCCAGGAATGTTTTAATAAGCCCCTGTCTATATCACCCTTCCAGGAATGTTTTAATAAGCCCCTGTCTATATCACCCTTTCAGGAATGTTTTAATAAGCCCCTGTTTATATATCACCCTTCCAGGAATGTTTTTAATAAGCCCCTGTCTATATCACCCCTTCCAGGAATGTTTTAATAAGCCCCTGTCTATATCACCCTCCAGGAATGTTTTAATAAGCCCCTGTCTATATCACCCTTCCAGGAATGTTTTATAAGCCCCTATATCCCTCCATAATGTTTTAATAGCCCTGTCTATATCACCCTTCCAGGAATGTTTTAATAAGCCCCCTGTATATATCACCCTTCCAGGAATGTTTTAATAAGCCCCTGTCTATATCACCCTTCCAGGAATGTTTTAATAAGCCCCTGTCTATATCACCCTTCCAGGAATTTTAATGAGCCCCTGTCTATATCACCCTTCCAGGAATGTTTTAATAAGCCCCTGTCTATATCTGCCTGTCTTCCCAGGAATGTTTTAATAAGCCCCTGTTCTATATCACCCTTCCAGAATGTTTTAATAAGCCCCTGTCTATATCACCCTTCCAGGAATGTTTTAATAAGCCCCTGTCTATATCACCCTTCCAGGAATGTTTTAATAAGCCCCTGTCTATATCACCCTTCCAGGAATGTTTTTAATAATAAGCCCCTGTCTATATCCCCTTCCAGGAATGGTTTTTAATAAGCCCTGTCTATATCACCCTTCCAGGAATGTTTTAATAAGCCCTGTCTATATCACCCTTCCAGGAAAATGTTTTAATAAGCCCCTGTCTATATCACCCTTCCAGGATGTTTTTAATAAGCCCCTGTCTATATCACCCTTCCAGGAATGTTTTAATAGCCCCTGTCTATATCACCCTTCCAGGAATGTTTTAATAAGCCTGTCTATATCACCCTTCCAGGAATGTTTTTAATTAGCCCCTGTCTATATCACCTTCCAGGAATGTTTAATGAGCCCCTGTCTATATCACCCTTCCAGGATGTTTTAATAAGCCCCTGTCTATATCACCCTCTCAGCAATGTTTTCAATAAGCCCGTGTCTATATCACCCTTCTGTAATGTTTAATAATCCCCTGTTATATAATCACCCTTCCTGTAATGTTTTAATAGCCCTGTTATAATCACCTCAGAATGTTTTATATACCTGTCTATATAACCCTTCCAGGAAATGTTTTATAAAGCCCTGTGCTATGATATCCCTTCCA